AAATTAGTTCCAAATGATCGCAAACATGTAAACATAGAAAGATCAAGGGAGAAAATGAGTAAACGTCGAAATCCCGAGGAATCCAGACGGTTTTTTAATAGAAAATGGGTTTTAACCATAAAAACGTTTTTTCCAAATTTTCTATTTTCGCAATCGATGCGAAAGAATGTGATATTATCTATATGTATAAGATAACAATTGAACCATTCTAGTCAAAAAAAATATTCAATGCAATGAAATTTATGATATAACATGTACACACATACATTAGGGCCAAATTAGTGATATTCGGGAGACTTACGGTAGGCATACGCAATATGTTTTCTCAAATCTAATTAATGATAATCTTATGTGAGAGTGTACCGTACGGAGAGATGTTCATAGATTTTCGAAAGAGTAATATTTCACCGGAAAATTCTTAGTATTTTGAAAGTCCTCTGTTTGCAATGTACTCCAAGACACATTTTTAGAAACAGGAGAGACCATTCGCTTGCACTTTGATATTCGACATTGAAATTAGGTCCAGATGATCAGAAACCTATCCACATAGAAAGATCATGAGAAAAAATTGGAAAAAGTCAAAGTCACAAGGAATCCGGACGGATTTTTAATAGATAATGGGTTTCTACAAAAAAATTTTTTTTTCCAATTTTTCGATTTTATCGCGGGAAATGACAGAATTTGCATACCATTGATAAGTATAACATAGCAATTCAACCACTCTAGTCAAAGAAAAGGATATGGAATCAGATTTATGATAGAATATGTAAATGCATACATTAGGACATAATAAGTGATATTGGGGAGACTTGCTGTTGGCATATGGAATATGATTTCGATAATCTAATTATTGATAATCTTATGTTAGTATGTACGGTATGTATATATATTCTTACATTTCCTAAATATTTACATTTGACCGGAAAATTCTGAGTATTTTGAAAGTCCACTGTTTGCAATGCATTCTAACAGATATGTTTAGAAATAGGAGTGATAATTCGCTTACACTTTGACATTGGACAATGAAATTAATTCCGAATGATGAGAATTCTCTATACATAGAAAGATCAGGGTGAAAAATCATAGAAAGTCAAAATCCCAAGAAATCCGGACGGATTTTTAATAGAAAATGGATTTTGAGAGAAAAACTTTTTTTTTCAAATTTTCTATTTTCTCGATCGATGCGATAGAATAGGACAGCAGTTATATATGTAAGATAGCAATTCAACGATTCTAGTCGAAAAAAAAATCTATCGACTGAAATTTATGATAGAACACCTGAATGCATACATTAGGAGAAAATTAATGATATTGGGTAGACCTACGGTTGGCATACGCAATATGTTTTCTCAAATCTAATTAGTGATAATGTTATGTTAGAGTGTACTGTACTGGGAGATATTCGTAGATTTTCGAAATATAATTATTTCACCGGAAAATTGTTAGTATTTTCAAAGTCCTCTGTTTGCAATGTATTCTAACAGATATGTTTAGAAATAGGAGAGTCTAATCGCTTGCACATTGACGTTCGAGATTGAAATTACTTTCAAATGATCGCAAACATGTAGACATAGAAAGATCAAGAGACAAAATGAGTAAAAGTCAAAATCCCGAGGAATCCGGACGGATTTTTAATTGAAAATGGGTTTTGCCCAAAAATTTTTTTTTTCAAATTTTCCATTTTCTCGATCGATGCGATAGAGTAGGACAGCATTTATATATGTAAGATAGCAATTCAACCATTCTAATCAAAAAAACAATCTATCGAGTGAAATTTATGATATAACATGTGAACACATACATTAGGGCCAAATTAGTGATATTGGGGAGACTTACGGTAGGCATACGCAATGTATTTTCTCAAATCTAATTAATGATAATCTTATGTTAGAGTGTACCGTACGGAGAGATGTTCATAGATTTTCGAAATAGTAATATTTCACTGGAAAATTCTTAGTATTTTGAAAGTCCTCTGTTTGCAGTGTACTCTAAGAGACATTTTTAGAAATAGGAGAGAGCATTCGCTTGCACTTTGACATTCGACGTTGAAGTTAGTTCCAAATGATCAGAAACATAGAGACTTAGAAAGATCACGAGAAGAAATGCAAAAAAGTCGAAATCCCAAGCAATCTGGAAGGATTTTTAATAGAAATTGGGTTTTGCACGAAAATTTTTTTTTTCTTTCTTTGCGATTTTATCGGTTCAATTGATAGAATGCCGTATCATTTATGTATATGAAAGACGAATTCCATCTTTCTAAGCAGAAAAATAGAATAGAATCAATTATATTCAATGTTACTCTAATGCATCATATGAGTGACCTCTACTGATATTGGCAAGTCCTGTGGTAGGCCTAGGGTAGATGATTGTGAGATTATAATTATTGATAATTTTGTATTAGTATCTATCCTACACAGATATACTTGTAGATTTTCAAAATAATAATATTTAAGCGAAAAATTCTGAATATTTCGAAAGTCCACTGTTTCGCTTGTAGTGTAAGAGGTATGTTTTGAAATAGCGGAGCAATTTATCTAGGAGTTTGACTGTTGATGTTGAAATTAATCGCGAATGATCAGAAACACTTAGACATAGAAAGATAGTAGAAAGAAATCAGAAAATGTCAATGTCCTTCGAGATCCGAAGGGTTTTTTAATAGAAATTGGATTCGAATGAAAAATTTTTGTTTTCTTTCTTTTTGATTTTATCCGTTGAATTTATAGAATTTTATATCGTTTATGTATGTGATACGGGAATTGGTTCGTTCTAAGCGGAAAAATAGAACAGAATCAACTATAGTCCATGTTAGGTGAGCGCATACCCTACGAGTCAGATAGCAATGCTGGCGGCACCATGTGGAGACATGTTGTAGTCGATTTTGAAATTATTAGTGTACAACGTTTTTTGGTCATGTCAAGTATTCATTGTCGTTTTAGTACATTTCCGAAAGGTCGATTTTTACTAAACTTAGTCCAAGCTTTCGAGTAATCCACTGCTTGTTATGTTTGTGGTTTGTAAGATGTTAGTTGTTGATGGATACTTATTTGTTCGTCTGTTAGTTGGAGGCTCATTGATAATATATATCTGGAGGATAGTTGATTGTGGCCTAGTGTCCCTGTAGATTTGGTTTGTGGTTTAACTTGAGTTTGCCGACGACTTTGGTTTAGGTCATGTTACGCAAAGAATAGTTACATATATAGGTATCTTGTTGCGAATGATAATTCCACTCACTGTGGAGAAGAGTCGGATGGCAAAAGTTTGTATAGATGAAGGTGTTTTTCTTGGTGGTCTTCACCATAAATGAGATATGGTTTTTCACCATGTTAGCCGTTGTGTTTCAGGATCCGAAATGTTTTGTGCTGCTGTAAGCGAGAGTTGTCCTTGAGGGGTGGCTTTCTTTTCTGATTTTTTTCCGTTTTTTTGACACGCGCCAGCTTTCATTTGAAACCACCAGTGGACGGGCGTTTTGTTTTTGCCAATTTCCAATGGAGTCAGCTCTATTTATCTTGGAAGTCATATTCTATTTTGTTTTAGTGTGAAAAAATTGTCGGATAAGTGTGGTGCGTTGAGAGTATGTTTCTTTAGATCATTGATTTATGTCTGGTGAGTTAAATTGACAGGGGTTTTTAGCAGTGTGTTTTTTTTTCTATTGTGAAATTTCCAGTTGTTGATCAGACTTTACTTTTTCATTTCAGATAATTGAATTTTCGGCTCATTGACATTATTTTGTGCTCTTTGAAAGTGTAATATCTGGTTTTTCTTCTCGTAGTCTTTGTTTGATTAAAATGGGAAATTGGAAAAGTATTTCTGCATTGTCTGTTAACAATAATATGGCTTCTGCTAAAATTGAAGTTGAGAAGCCTACATATGATCGTTATATCTTAGATGAAAATAATATTTTCATTCCGGATCGATATTTGACACGAATGGCCCACAATGGTCTACTTGAAAAATTTATCGACTTAGTCGCTGCCGTTAATATAGAAACGGAAAAAATGAATTCCATTTTATTTAAATTAAAACGTGGACATGAGACAGCTTATGATGACGTCGACTTGAAGCGATTTCAAATCGACAATAATGATGAACCATGTAACATGAAAACTTGCGACACAGACCCATCAACATCTGCTCTAGTTCAATATAAACACAATGAATTGGTACTTGACCGTACTTACAACCTTAAGTCATTTTATGATTGATAATCATCACTTTAAAGTTTTCAATTAATCAATAGGAAACATTTAAACATTAATATAATATTGTTTAGCGTTTGCATGTCTATTGTTGTACTCGTAGTTCATTAATGTAGTATGGAACTATGTCTTGTTTCTTATTGGCTTTATCTATTCAACTGTTTTTTCTCTGGTTTTGATTTACTTTATATATATTTAATTCTAGATGGATTAGTTTTGTTTTCAGAATGAATATGACATTGAATCAGATTATGAACTTGATACATGGGCTCTTCTTTTACTTGTAATGAAAAGAAAACTCACGATGAGGATCATACACTGAGAATGCAAAATTTTTTAAAGCAACCATCTGATATAAACCACTCTATAGTACTTTCTAAAAAGTAATTACAATCATGGGTCTTATACAAACATTACTATGGCTATTAGAATTGATGTGATATGTATCAATGCAATGCGTCTTTAATGTTCATCGGTATCTCAAGTGCATCCAGCCACCGTCTTTCACATCTATACATCTACATTTTTATCACAACTTTTTCTTTTATACGAATGAAAAGAAACCTTTTTTTCTGTTTAGTTTATGTTTTGTATTTTGTATCATAAGTCATAAATAGTTCACAATCCAAAAATGATTTCAGATAAAAAAATTTAAGATTGCATTTGATTGACTGATTCTTTAGAAAAAGTACATTGTAACAATTCATCCCAAGGTATGAATCTGAACAGAACACCAAGTTTGTCGAGCCTTCTATCATCAATTAGTGGAAAGTTTTTATCCATTAAAGCCTCGAAAAACCCGATGTCTATACATATATCTGTTCGATAGATATCCTCCAGTTGCTCTTGATGCTATATTTAGATACATTCAGCAAAGCTGATTTTGGAAAGCGACCGATGGGGAAGAAAAACTTCAATATGAGATTGCCATGTTCAAAAACGGGCTATCCTCTGCATTCAGCTCTTATGTGTTTCAAGAGCTAGCCTTAACGAAGATCAACTCTATATTGACTAATCTTCGGTTTGATCAACAAGGGTTCTGGACGAGTTAACTATGCAAACAATCTCGATCGCCGAAGAAATGGTTCAAACTTACCGTCAGAAAGTGATCGATGAGAAAACAAAATGATGAAAAAATGGGGAACATTTCAAGAAACTACCCACCATTGATATGGTGATCACTGCCCTTGAAAATCGTCAAAGCAATAGGGTTTCTCGTGCTCATTACAATATCGAAGAAATACGGCGAATAATGAATGGATAAGCAATGGCCCTCCATAACTAAAATGACTGTCGAAAGAAACAACTCACGAAACGAACTTCCTGAAATCATTTTTCTTGTACTTCTGTAGTTTTTGACTCCTCTCCTTCACTCATCATCAACTTTCCTTTTCTCTATTCCAGAAAGCGGTATAGGAAAGAAACGTTGCATTGATATTCGTCTCTATTTGAGAGAAGATCTGGTCGATCCAGACCCTTTTTGAAACTAGTTTCATAAGAAGAGGCAACGTTAGAAAAATCCATTTATTACAGAGGGATTGTAACAGTATTGATTTAACTCAAGCAGAACGATCTACATCTGTGTTAACTCATCATGAATTATCAGGATGTCAACCAAGAACATTACCTGATAAAAATAACGGGCGATATGCTTATTTACCAATCTTTCCAATGGGATCGGTGGGTGTAGATAATTGTCTCCTTTTGGCTAATGTACCCGGTTTGTATCACACCCATGGCTCATTGGAAACTTTTTTTGTTCTTTTCATTCTTGCTCTTCTTCTTTTTTCTAGAGATACGTCTTACTCCTCAGGAAATGGCACGACGTCAACATGGCGCATACACATCAGAAGCCCTGAGGATGATGAACACGTACAAATATATTGATACATTCAGTTTGTCTGAACAAGATGCTGAAGAGTTAACTTTACGATTACAAGTCGGTCAATCAATTATTACTTTTAATGCTGATCGACTTCGTTGTATCTGTGGTACACTTCTGACATTGCATGCATTGTTTCGACGAAATGATCTATGTCAGGGAGATGTTTCCTTAAATGAACCAACACTCAATTCAAAACAGATGGCAATGGCATTAGAATTCTATTTACAGATGGATGGTCATTTTTCCTACAAATAGATGATCTCCTTCGTTTATACTTCTTCTAACATTCTAGTGAATCTCTTTTATATGAAAACTTGCTCGTTTCGAGGAGCTAAATCTCGATTCGAGATGGAAGGCCTTTTCTGTGGTAAAGTGGTACTTCAAGCAAGATATGTCATGCTTCCATGTGGCCATCTATTTTGTTTATGTTGTCATCCATTAAATAGCTACAAGAAAAGTCAAACATGGTCAGTTATTGAATTTGACTCAAGTTCTAGGCATCAATTCGCCAATGGATATGCGACCTATCTCAATTGTCCAGCGGTATGGGTATTATCAAACATTTTATGTGATGACCTGTCCCTGTGATCAGTATGATTATGTTGATTCAACGGCAGCAACATTGCCCGATGCGATGGCCTGTAAGTAGTCGTGATATGGGAGAGAGATTCTATTTATCGATTTTTGAATTCTTTCTTTTTTTCTCGGGCAGATCATCGAGAACATGGCAATCGAACTATTCATGAAAAGTTGACGGGTAGTCCTGTGTTTCGAGGATCTTTACTCGATTCTCACGAGCATTTTTAGATTGCAATTCAATCTATTGGTATTTTATTCCTCTACGTCGGGAGGAAGAACTGGCAGATAATATTGTTTATACACGAGGAGCTTCTATTGGAAATCCAGATTTGGCCTACATAATGGCCACCATGGCCATAACTAATGATCGTGTTGCGCAATATCTAAATCCAGTACCATTGCCACCAGCTGCCTATGTCTTTTCATATCGACAACTACAAAGACAACGAGAATTTTTCGAAAATATTATCGGTTCTTCCATTCATCAACTACCCTATGGTATATTCGATTTATATAAAATGGCAATCATTGCTGTTCATAAGTAAACTTATCTTCATTCATTCTTAGTGTATTTCTTTTTTCTCTTTCCGTTGAATCTAGTACCGGATGATCGTTCCATTGTATTACGTTACATTATCGAAACCTTGTTCATTATACATGGTGAAACAAAATTGAATATGATTTGTCCGATCGGTGTTGATGTTGAACGACATTACGGTGGTCCCTATAATTTGGCTCGGTGTGCGAATTTGAATCGTTCATCAGTGTAAACTGGGATATTGACTCAAGGAGAGTTTTTTTTGAAAGTGATACAGTTACCATTACAAATCAGTAGCCATTCATTTTAAATTATCGGCACGAGGAAGTAGAAAATCGTTCTTGTTTTATAGTTGTAGTGATCTATTTCTCATTCATTTATCCAGCTTATACGCTTTTTTTTCTGTTCAATTGTCATTTTACATTTTTTTTTATTGCTTTAGTCTATACTGAGTTTAATCAAGTTGTGAGCACGACTTTCTATCCAAGTTAATTAACAATAGTCTATAATTTTAGATATAAAAGCATCGAACGGAAAAGATTGGCAATGCTCGACCATACTTACTTCTATCTATGTCTCATTTTATTAGGCTTAGTTGAATTCTCAACTGGATTACCTCATCCATTCAATGATACACATGAATGGGTTCCTTTGGATACATCTGATCTTCCAACGAATGAATTTGAACGACAATGGGTGTTAGAAGAAATGACAAAATTATTCACACCATATCCATATACAATTATCCCAAATAAGAATGATAATCAAACCATACAAACTGATGTGCATCCATCAAACATTGGCCTACATGTATTACAACCCATCATTCATGATCAGCATAGTATGCTTGATAATTTAACCCAAAATTCGATCAATGCAACCGACATGGCCAATGCTACTCATCATGAGCATTCTAAAATGGATCTAACCTTCACCAGTTGGTTTTATCTCATTAGCTTATGTTTAACATGTATCGGGGTTGGTTTGATGGTTTATGTGGCCGTATCTAAGAACGGCGCATCTACATTTTGTAATTTCTTATTTACTATGCCAGCACCTCTCACCTCTCGTTTTCACCAACAACAAAAACGTCCACAGCAAGTGGAACAAGGTCGAATCAGAGGTGAATTCCATGATCCACCAAAAGAATTACAACCAACCATGACATTGATTCCAACGGATCTGGTTTAATTCCACATTTCATATAGCTATTATTTAGCAAAGTTGATGAACATTTAATTCAAACAAATTTGAACACAGAACTAGAGCTTCTTGTCTGCTTTCTAGTTCTATTACATATTCATTTTATTTAGCCATTTTCTTACAACGCTTTTGTCTTCCACTTATGAATGTAATGCGAGTGTTTCCTTTTTGTTTTCGATTACTTTTTTAACTAGTCTTCTACATTTCTTTTCCTCAATTGAATAATCAATACTCATCTGTTCTTTATCTTTTATTGATTCTTTACTTAATCTAAAATTTTCTCCAATATATTCTCGTTACCTTGTAGTGTCTACATTAACAACAACAATGTAAACATGTAGTCAAATTAGATGTAGCTCTTAATCAATCGGGATCCAATAAAAATCTCAAGTTTACTTGATCTTTCTGTCTCTTCACCATTTTTTTTGCTCGCTCATAAATCATGTATCGTTTTTTCCATTTCAGATATACGCTACTAACAATGATCCGAGTGCAAAGCACTACAAATCGTTCACCAGAATAAGCTTCATCTATGCCACAATCGGGATATATCCCGTTGAAACTTTGTCTCATCACATGTCGGAAAAGCACCCACTGTGCAAACCAATCATCAACTATGCAATCCTCCACATCTTACAAGTCTTTCTATAAAAATAAGTGCCATTTTTTTCAATCATTTTATACAAATATAGGCCACTTCAAAAGATTTTCATTGAAAACATCGAACTACTCTCATAGTATTTTGGTTGCTCTAACACATCCTACGGTGTTAGGTTCTACTTGATAGAACTTAATCCTTTGTATTTGATTCTATTATTTTTCCTACTCTTGAAAAATGAATCTTTTGTTCAAGTCCGTGCCACTTGATCATTTTTATTAGCTAAAATGAAATACTTAGTATTGTGGTTGCTCGAATACACACCCAACACTCCGTTATTTCTCAGAAAATTTTAATCCAATTAAAAATAATAAGAATATGAAATTATATAAATAGAGTCCTTGATATTATTATAGAAGTGAAGTAAAAATATTTATTTCTTAATGTTAATTAATTCTATCTATACTTATCATTGTCACATTAATAACAATGCAGTATTTTAGATAAAATTCTATTTTTGATTGACCATCAATGGCAATGAGAAATAATGATTATAATAGTGACGATATTGGTGAATATGAACAAGTAAAAGATATATATATATGCGAAAATGTAATGCTCATTTTTTAATTCTAAATTTCATTTATATTTTAGTATGATGATTTTTCTATGTCAAAATATGTCTATACCGAATTAAGATCTCCGCGCAATAGTCAAAGATTTTCTAATTTGAAAGTATGTAGGTTTGAATTGATTTAGAGGAAGAAAAATTTTCTTCGTTCTATTTTTCTAATAGCCGACTGAAGAACAAATGCTATCACAAAAGATGGCTCAATTATCAACGAATGTCACCGATGAACAAGAATTCATAATAAAATCGATTCAAAATGCACTGAAGAAAATTCCAATTTATTTAGCAAAACAAAATGCATCTTTTCAGCAAATACTAAATCAAGCAATATCCACGATAGGGATAGAAGCATTGAATTCTCATCGAGACGAACTACGAGATATTGCTATTTTACTTTATAAAATCATGCTACTTCAAACGTATCATCGTTTATGGACAACACATTTTAAATCTGGTATGGGACAATTAATCAATGATTCAGAAAAACAATTCATCTATCCGACCAATTTACAAATTTGGTCAAAAGAAATCAAAGCCATTCTACAATCAATACAAAGGAATAAAATAAATGAAAATAAGATGTGTTTGAATTTTGTTCGTCAGTATATAAGTGAACTTGACCGTCAATTAAAACAAACTCAAATGGAATGGAATAGGAAAGCCAATAATTTCAACGGTTATACATTCATCATCGAGAAACTTATGGAGAAATATATTGAACAAAATCTATGTTCTTTACATATGGAAATTGAACATCAAATAGAACTCGTTCATTATGATTATCATATACAGGCATTAAAACAAGCATATGATCGACATCATCCAAATGAATATCAGGTATGTTCTATTGTTTTCTTTTTTTGCTAAAGACAAATGAGAAATCTTAATTGATTCCTGGATTATTCTAGAAAAAATTATTCAAACAGCTATGCCACAGAAAATATGAACAAGAAATAACAGAACAAGAACTAAAATTTCTTCAACAACAAATGATTTATTATAATTCGTCCAAGCAATCATTTGAAAACTCACCCATAGCTCAATCACCGTTAATTAATTCTATTGAAAATTCTGAGATTCGACAAGAATTACTCAATCGCTATAAAGCTGTTGCTGAACAATCAAAAGCTCAATTGTCAGCTTTCTATATGAAAACAGCTGAAGAACAACGAAATGAATTCAGAAAAAAGTATCTTGATGAAATGAAGAAAATGTGGTCTGATCATCGAACATTGACTGACAATGACAAATTACCAATGAATATGCTATATCTGATAAATGAACGGTGTAAGAAAATTGGTGAACGTCTTCAATTGATATATAAATTTAAATCTCAACCTTTTGTTTGAAAATCAAACTTATAATTCTATGAATAATAAATAAGAGATATTCTTTTTCCTTGGTGATATGCTTTATGATAACTCTATTAGCGAATCTTCATTTTATCTTTGTTTTGGGTCGTTTTTGTTGTTCTATTTTAGATAAATTTCAAATAAATTAATTCTAACTTTAAACATGGATGTAAACCAGGATTATATCCAACACAATAATCGTCAGCGTCTAAATCAAGGAGAACCAAAGAAAAAATGTCATGGTAATCGAAGAGATCAACGTTTTCGAAAGAAATGTCGTGCACGGGGAATGGGACCAGAAAAAATAGAAAAATTACTTCAACTACGAAAGAAATTTCATAATAAAGAAAAGAATCAAACTAATACCACAATAAGAACTACAACAATGAATGAACAGGTAGTATCAACAACATTGAAGAATAAATTCACTAAGAAAAAGGATCGACCAATACAACCAAAACCAAAAACCAATCTTAATAAACGTAAACGAGATAGATCCTTACAACAGTTAAATCTAAATTTAAGAATACCTCAATCAACCAGTTCAATATCTATTCTACAACCATTCGCAAAAAAAATGAAAAACAAAAGGAAAATCACAACAACTAGTTCAGTGATCAAAGCCAACAACGATAATATAAATACAAATTATCGGTCTGTATTGTTGGCATCTTCCTTTATAATTATGATTGATAAGATGTTTCTGATTATAGACGACCTATGTATTTGAGACAATCGCCACACATTCTGATGAAAATGTTCAGTAAAATATTAAACTATCCCTTTAAAGGAAAAGGTGAAGAAAAATATATCCATACTCGTCTCGATCTTTTCGATC